TGTGTGCGAATGAGCTTTGTTGTGTATGTGTTAGAGAGTATCTTGGCCTCCTCAACAGCTAATCTCTTTCTAGTCAGCTAAGAGTTCCAGGATGTTTGAAGATACGGGAAAATATTTTTTTTTGTAGCAGAGGCTGCAAGAGGCCAGCAAAGAAGATGCACGTTCCCTGAGAAACCAAGACATCTGTTGTCTGTGAGAAGAGAGCACAGGGAGGAGAGCAGGGATTGAGTGGTCCCTACAGTCCTGTCCACGCCGGCAGCGGCTACACTGCCGACTAATTGGTAAGAGGCCTATGCGTGAGCAAGTGAAGGAGGGGTGTCTGGGTGGCAAGCCAAAGAGGAAGGAGGACAGGCCACCTCATTCCCACAGGATGAGGAAAAAAGAAAAGAAAAGAAAAAAGAAAACGCAGACCAAAACACAGAAAAGGACAGGAGTAATGGCTGCTTCCCCTCCTTCCCCTTCCCTCTGTAGCCCTTCCAGACCCAGACTCCAGACTAGCCTCATCCTTGTAATTTAGATTAATTTCTTCCACATTTTCCTCAGGGATTAGGCTGCAACCCACCCTTCACCCCCCCTCCGCACACACACATACACACACTCACGCACACCCAGCTCACCCCCTACCATAGTTGCTTAATGCTCTCATTATTGAACTACGTTCCCCTCACAGCTACCCCACCCCCAACCTCCACACACACAAACACACTAAAAAATGCAATACTCTCGGCTCTGATGAGTGTTGATCTTTTAATGTCAAAATGATTCCATAAATGAAAGAATATTTAACGTCATTAGTGCAACATTGTCATCAGGGACAACTCATAGTTATTCTACTTTCAAATACTGCCACTAGATGTATTATTACGTATGGTACAAAGCTATTTTTGTCGTCCGATATGGAGCAATAAGTTGGATTTTTTAATTTAATTTGTTAGAACCTCTTTTCCCTCATCCCTAGAAAGGTTTTTCTGAGTAACAAAATGAGGTGGCCCCTTTGGAGTGCATCAGTACATTGGATGGGGCTATTGAAATGTTTGTCAGGATGTTACAGCAACCATTTCACAGTTAACATAGGTAAGGCTGTCAGTATCCTCCGGAGAAAATTGGAATTCGCCATGTTCTCTGACTGCTGTAAAATGCAGCACTGCGGTCAAATACCAACACAGTTCACTCACTGGAATTCCAGGTGCATTAGTTTAATGCCACACAGGAGCGAGTCACGCTGGGAGTGGACACGACTCAAATGTTCCTCCAAACAACAAGTAAACACTAGACCCAATATAAATCCAGGGAAGTAAAGCGAAGACATACAGGAACATCATCACATCACTTTTTAAATATTTTTTATTTGTGTGTTTATTGCATTTTTCTCTTATTTTCTGCCAAATTGAAATGCCCAATTTATCTGCAGCAACTGTTGGCCTGGAGAAGAAGAGAAGGTGTCTTAAAGTAGCCAAATCTCTGCACATCTTTGAAAAGCTTCTTAAAAGTAATTTGTTTTCTTTGTCTTTCTCTTCATTTGGTTGGTTGTACACTAAATTCTGTTTATTTTTATATTATGTCAGTGTCTTTTCTGACCATTTTATCTCCCCATTTCCCATTTTGTTCTTCCTGAAAAGCACTTCTTCTTTTATATATATAGTGAGTTAATTACTGTATGTTCTGTATCACAGTGTTTATATACAAATGTACAGCCCACAAGGCCTTATAACTGAAATGGGAACGTATCTTCTTACATATAACATTGCATTGCAAAGAAAAAACTCTGTCTTCTGTCCCAAACTCTAAACTTCCTGCTGTGTCTGTGGCAGTTGTTTGACAAATATAACAACAAAAGACAGTGCAATTAAAGACAGACAGTCCATAAATCACCATATAAAAAGCAACAAGACAAGAAATGGACTTCATTCTCAATCTTGCTTAAATAACATAAAGATTTTCTTTCTTTTCCAGGAGACCATTGGCATTTTTCTATATCATTTCATGTCTCTGTAGCTAATAATATTGTACTTGAATATAACTATGCATACAGAGATCTTTGATTTTTTTTGGTTAAATTCAAACAAATATATAAATAAAGTTTGCCTGCTTGCTGTCTCCTCCAATACACAAGGAGTCACCATACACTTTGTGTAACAACAGTGAATTAAGTTGAAGAAAATGTTGTTTGTACGGGCGGCTTACACAAATGGCAACAATTAGAGCCAAATACTGCACTTCTGTTTGGTCAGAGTCTCCTGCTCTAAAGTTGCTCTTCAGATGAGTAAATGTGATTTTCATCAAGTCATTTTACTACGAGTAAAATTTAAGTCAAGTAAAAGTGATGTGATATTCTAGTATTTTTCCTCCACTAATGAAGATGCAGTCCAGGCTGAAACTTTTATTGGTCTGTAACAATAAAGCTGCAATCATCTCTTCATCTTCTATTCATTTAATTCATTCTTAGTTTATTTCTTCTTCACTTGATCTAATTTCAGAGAGGTGCCAAAATAGCAAATTTCATTATCTGGAGATTGGATTGCTCCTCTTTTTTCTCCAAATGAGGGAAACATATTTTGAATTCAAGTGATCATATGTTTCCGGAGTTTACTGAGCTGGAAGTGACTTGACCTCGACTCCTGATTTACACATGAGAATCTACTGTCGTCGGTATGACTTGTCGCTTGTGACATGGGATGTTAAGACTATGCTTTAACTCATAAAGTGGTTTCGGTGGTTGGGAACTGCAACCAAGCGATTAGTCTGACTGCAAATGAGCCTTAATGTACAACAGATTTTAAAGGCAGTTGTTGAAGGGAAGTGGTTGGACTAAATGGAAAGGGTGAAAGTAAAGTGCTAAGTATCTGGGAACATGTTGGGCAAACTGCTGTGAAATTTGTAACAGTCAGGAGGTGTATTAAAGTCAGTATAGTTTTACATAGCTACAAGAAACTGGTTTCTCTGTCATGATGTCCCTCTCTCTTGATTTTTCTCTATTGATGAGCTGATAAACTATTGTCACGGACTTGCTGTTATTTTAGTGCAAAAAGTTTTTTTTTCTTCTTTTTATAGGAATAAAAGAAAAGAAAATCCAGTTTGATTGAAATGAGAGTTTAAAGAATAAAACAGGAATCAAGTTTTTACTCATTGCCACATTTTGTTCCTTCCTGACAGTTTTGTCATGTGGCTCACTGTGACCTACATAGAAAGGTCATTCAGTCAGAGCTGGCATGAAATACGACCACAGTTCAGTGAATCTGGAGTTGACAAGTAGCCCTGGGCGTCCTAATGAGATCAAAAGATTGTATTAGCACGTCAGATATGATCTCTGAAAATAAGAGAAGTATATAAGTTTATTTTTTTTCATTAAAGAAGAAGAAGGTAGCAGGTAAGCTGAACAAGTCTACGCTCGCCTCCTTTTCCCAGCTTTATAAGGTGTGTCAGAGGTGAATTACTCATACTGTCTCACAGTCGGGAGGAAAATGTTTGACCAGTTACCATGTTGCCTGTGTTTTGGAAAACACGGGATAAGGAATTACACAGATAAAAGCAGGTGCATTGTGGTCTTATTAAAAACATGATAAATGTCTAGCTACGTATTTAAATATCACAGCTTTTTCCATCTCACCATACTTGTACACCAGGTTAACCCTGACTTGCATTTGAAAATGCTCATGAATTGCAGCACACTTGTTCAGATGGGATCTCTTTATGCTAAAAATAAAGGTGAGCAAAGTGAACGTGTGTGTGTAATAGCTTACGGCTGCGAATAATCTCCAATCAAAGCCTAAGATACAGAGAGGTATTGCCTCAACCATGTTCAACCGGTCATCAAAGACGCTCAGAATCCACCTCCTCTTTCTCTCTCCAAAAGCCTTCCGAAAACTTACCTCTCTTTTTCTACCACCTCCTCCGCCTCCCATTATCTCTCAAGCTAACATGAGTAACTGAAGGCAGTTAAAGTCAACCGCTGCAGTGAGCCACCAGGTTGACAGGTCTGGTTAAACAGGTTCTGAGGGGAGAGGCTGAAACTTGTTTAACTGCTAGGTATGGCACGCTGCAGCTGCTGCTGCTACTGCTGGCTCTCTTAACATGCAGCCTGGCCTTGTGAGACGCTGGTTTCACCTACTGACCTCCAAAGCAGGATGTACGACTAATGCAGCACATATGAGAAGAAATACTGGTGCAATATATTGTCGTGGATTACAAATATAATTGGTACAACTCATAAATCCAGCCTTGTGTCCAATGTAAATGCACTGTTTAGGGGTTACTATGGCTCAGACACTTACTGTTACAGTAAGTTCCTGAACACACATAAACAGACAGACCACATGAATCAGCAGAGACTGGCTAGGCAAGTGATGATTAAGTAACCTTGTGCCACATGTAAATCCCATCTGCCGTTCCCTTGCACAACTTATTTTTCTCACAGACATCAAAGGAATTGTCATCTGCAGTGTGAAACTTGCAGCACCGCAGTTCCACAGAAATACACAACAAAACTAAAAGCAGTTAAAAACTTGATCTGGGAGCACACCTGCTCCAAACACAGGAAAGAGTAAAGGAAGAGTAAATATCAGCGAGCAGGAGAGTCGCTGTGCAGTAAGCTTAGGAAGAGAGGATGTTGAAAGATGGGCTCTTGGAGCAATCTATTCAGTATGTGTCAATAGTTTTCTAAGTTTAAACATAAACAAGCGATTTGTCTGCTCTCAGCTGTGCATCTCTGTTCATCACATGATGTACTTTTGAGGTCTCTGCCTTCACCGAGCCACACAGCCTATTTGTGAAGCTAAGTGAGAGCAGATAATGATGGCTTCTGTTCTCATTAGTTTGGGGACTTTTTCTTTGCTGTTTATTAATAGGAGAGTCTTCCAACACATGACTTCACCACATCATCTGTGAAATACTGCTGAAAAGGAGGCTACACAACAATAGTGCAAAAAAGACATGTGTGTATTGTGTGTTTGTGTGACCTAGGCAACATCACTGACTCACTGAATCAGGCTCTAGTCTTTCATTTTATTTTTATTTTTCCTGAAACTTTAAAACAGTTTTTTTTTTAAACATGTTTTCAAAAAAGTATATCATGCCCACTTCCTAACCTCTACTTGATAAAAAACTAACCCATTTATAAAAGTTCAACACATCATCATAAAAAGTGAAACCATACACCAGAATGATACCATTATTTACACAAGCCCATTAAATTACAACATAAATTAGAAAATATTTACATCCAGGATGAGACACTGGATAAAATTCTATGTTTGGAATTTAATGTCTAATTAAAAACATTTTTAGAGAAAGAAATATATACATTTACACACATTCTCACAACATACATACACTCTGGTAGGACTGAACTGGTCGATAGGTTGATGGTGAAAGCTTTTAAATACTAAGGAAGATGAATACCTAACGTGGTCACAAAAATAAACGTGTTCTCGCTGCCAGGTTTAAAAGATAGAGTAAGAATGGAAGCATTGCTATGTCTGTAATCCACATGAACACTGAAGAGGCTTTAAAGTTTCTGGTTTCTGACTGAATGCAGACTGACAAACCAAAAATTGTCTTTTCTCATTCAGGCCTACATAAGATTCAAATCATCTCTCATGAACAAAGCACAATAACACTGGAGCCATTTTGAAGTGGTTGTACAAATCAAGCACAAAAAATGAAGTGGATTTTCTTCTCTCTCTTTCTCATATAAAAAAATTGTCCTTTGCAAGTCCATTGAGACACAGGAAATCAGTGGATTTGCCTCCAGACAGAGCAGGAGGGAGGGTGGGGGGGGGGCTGAGAGGAATTCACAGCCACAGCAACTCATCTTGAAATGATGTCCTCTAGGGAGAAAAAAACAGTATGCACTTTGTTCTTTCCCTTCTCTTGTCAAGGTCTCATGGTTGTAGCATCAGCACATTGGCAACTGTATGGACTGCATAGTGGTTAGTATGATATGGTGTGTATTACGCCCTCACAAGATGGGCTCCAATATGTGCCAACACAGACTGATTTGCAGCCAGCTGTGACAAGCTCTTAGAAATCATTAACTTCACAAAAAATATGATATAAATTCAACAGTGTGAGTACACACATACTCTCACACACACACACACACACACACACACAAATTCAGCTCTCAAAATGACAATACTTATCAATCAATATTGATTTTTTAAAAAGTCCAAAAAGGGCAGACAGGGCAGCAAGATTAAGGGACTCAGGGGTTCTCAAGTTCATAAGGATTCTCCTTTGAGCTCTCATTTCCTGTGCTTGTCCATTTTGTCGGTAGATTTGCTTCCACTGTCTGAGGATCCCTGGGTGTCGCTACCAGAGCTCAGGTACATCTTGTCCACTTGTTTGAGCGCCTCGTTCAGGTAGTTCTGAAGCGAGGTCATGGCGGCACAGATGGCCGGAGAGCCGAAGCCGTGAGTGATGAGGCTGAAGTGGGTCAGGCAGCCTTGGATTCCAGGCTCCATGATGGGGGCCGGCCGAGAGTTTCCCAGAGGTGAACGGTCCTGAGTAAGCAGGTCAGTGAACTCTTTGCAGATTTGCCTGAAAGTAGAAAAAACAGAATGATTTAGGAAGAGGAAAAATAGTTACATTTATTACATTTAATAATTTATTACAATTCAAGAACAAAGTCTGCAATAAATTCAATCTGTAAAATCCTCGAGTAATCAATGAATACTATAAAAAAATTCTAGATATGTCAGCTTGCTACATCCTACTTTGCTACAGGGGTATTTCTCTACAAATTAAAGGCAACCATCCAGACAAGACACTTACTTGGCAGCTAGGAGCATGTTCTTGCGAGAGTTAACCTCATTGCGTTCAACGTGCGGCCTGCCCAGGTATTCAGCAATTGCCTTTGCAGGGAACTCTGTTTCACACACGTAACCAAAGTCTCTTGCTAAGTGAACAGCTTCACCTAAGAGAAAAAGAAAACAAACTTTGTAAGAGAAAAGAAAAAATCAAACCCAAGTCAGACAGCACTGAAGTAGACACTTGGCTCTTGGTCTCAAACCCAGGCTGTATATTTATGAAAATATAAAGGTTATTATTATTTCCACAGATGTTATCGCTGCATCACCGCTGACAGGCTGGGCGAAGATCAAATGGTAAGCTGGGCGGCCTCAGCAATTTATCAATTTGGAGAGTTCTATTAGTATCCCTGTTTTGGACCTGATACACACATCAGCATCAAGGCGCATGAAGTGAAGCAGTTGAACTACAGAATAATCAGCTTTACTCAGAGTTCTAGCTTGGGGAAACGAGAGCTAGTGAGATGAATACATTCCGTCTTGAGGGTGGTTTGACTTGCATGGTCATAATGGGCTTATGTGGATAAATGCTAGTAGAGAGGGCCCACGGCACCAACAGCACCGCTTATTGATAGATACGCACATCACTTGAGGACACGGGCGGCTATTCAGAAGCACAAGCTTTAAGGTCAGCAGGCCCTCCTGGCGAGCCAAACACAAGATAACAAGGCTTAATTCAGCTTTGAAGGTCTCTAAATAACACAAGCCTCCAGTCATTCTCCTGCACAGAATCATCAGCCCATTTATAAAAAATTAGGCATGTAGAGAGGAAGAGAGGAAAAAATATTCTACCTTAGCCCGCGGCAGGTAGAATCTGTGATTAAAGTGATAACATGTTCATGGTGAAGCATCACTGTCTGGCTAAGGTATGACTGATGATGTTGTTTTGGGATTTTAGGAATTGACAAGAGAAGGTGAAGGTGTCGTGTCGTCGTTGCAACTATGGAACTCCCTGACATCTAGTAATGGACGATCTGTTGCCATATTACACGATGCAGACATTTAAAGGCAAAAAATATCAGACAATGTGTAGCCTACAGTACTGTGTACAGTATTATACAAAATAATACAATCGCAATGCTGATAGAATCAGCGCTCACATGTTTTGTGAGCTATCCTGCTGCTCCATTAGTTTTACGCAGACACTAACCTGAACATGTCAAAGACTGAGTTGAAAAGGATTATATTAGGTATCTGCATTGCATTCAAACATTGACTAAGACGCTCTGAGTTTAACTAAGTTGACAGAATCACCATGGGGACAAAATGACGACTAATGTGCAACTGAAAACCAGACAAAAGAAGTACCTCAAGAAAAAAAACGTTGCAGCATTGTCACTATCTTTATATAACTTCAGCCGTGAATGATTGCTTAAGATTCAGTACGGCATTTAAAACACATATTTTGTGTTGACGACACTGATGTTCTCGGACTATTAGAGCAACATTCCAGCTTTTGCAAACAGCAATTACATCTTAAAAGGTATTATGCACTGAGTGACATGTCATACCTTCTACTAGAGATGTAAGTAGAGTGACATTAGCTGCCTTTCTTCTTCCTGCAGGCAGGTTGAGCCCGATCTTATCCAGCTTTTCTCTCAGAGAGCGGCCTCCATTTTTTGACTTGGCTCTGCAGAAGGAGAACAAAAATAATTTAGTTCACCGTTGTTAAATAATTCAGACAGATAATGCATGATTACAACCTTTTTTCACACAATGTGTTAAAGTTTGTAGAAAACTGTTAATGGAGGATTAAGAAATTAACATGGCATTTGACATTCTCTTCACACATTACCACGATTATTTTCCTTTGATTAGTATCTACTAAAGGACATTTATTCCATTAAGTAGCAAGAACAAACAGAATAGATTTATATGATTATTGTGCAGAGCATACTGCAGAAATAAGCGTTCAGAGACTTGGCATTCACTTCTGCAGAAGGTCTCATTGTTCACTCTTGATAACAAACAAATCACACAAACAGGCTCTTCTGACCTAAAAAAAACACTGTCACAATTGATGCTTCCACTCAAAAGGCGCAGCAGAGAAATCACTCATACACACATTTACAGAAACACTTAAACTCCCAACTTGCCATGGCCGATTCAGTTTTCCGCATGACTGGCGGGGCAACTTCTCCCTCCATGGCGGGTGCATCTTTAGGGCGGCATGTGTGTATGAGACCCCCACCCCTTCAACCCCTTTCTCCCCCCTGTCCCTTTGCTAACGATCCCCCCTCCTATTGCTATATGACCTACTTAAATATGTCTGTGATTGTGCACGTCAGCATTAACACAGGCACATGGGAAGTGGCAAACGTGCACTTCCAAGCACAAAATTCTCCAGTCAGGGTTGTCGAGTGCATACTGTAACCTCACAGTCCCTCAACAGACTTCCACACTAACATGTGTGCCATAAGGTCAACTGCTCTGCCACAGATAAAGCTACCCATGCTGCAGCTCCTGACAAACACAAAAACACACCACAGTCTTTAGATTGGTACTAACTGTGTTGATGTAACCTATCCCCAGAGGAATCACAGAACCAAAATTGCAGACCACACAAAGAATGTCACGAACCTTATGCAAAAAACTGATGAGCCAGAGCAACTAAGCCAAGCTGCGCTTTTAGAAAAGCCTTTCCCATGGGCTGCTGAGCTTTAGTCTACAGATCACTAGAGCTGGAGCTCCTCAGTTTGATGGTTATTCACATCTGAGACAATAACGGTACCTTATCAACAGCTTGCAGATGACAGAGATATTGAAATAAATTACGTCTGGGTTAATTATCCTTATTTTTTGTTCATCAGTGCCACTGTATTCCTGTGTTATGAGGACTTTCACACGACAACAACAGGGAAATAGCATTAAATCCAGCCAGCTGTCATGTTGAATGAATTTGAGCTCTGACCTGCGTAAAACCCCTCCCAGCAGCGACGCGTTGAGGCACTCAGGGGGTGACAGACGTCTCTGGACCTCGGCCACGGTAACCTTGTACTTGGATGTGGAGCTCAGCAAGGAAAGACGGCCCGGTACGGAGCAGAATACCTCTGTTGGGTTTGACACCATGCCCAGCAGGGACTCCTTCTGGAAAGGAAGACCTAGCGCGTTGCCTTTGGGTAGAGTGACAGGCCCTGGATGGTGAAGGGAAAAAAAGTGTGTAAGCTAAAAGGTGAAGAAGTACAAAAGATGGTTTTGCAATAGAATATGTTTATATAAATACACTTTTCCTCTGTATGTTCATAAGCTTTAATCATCATAATCCTTTTTGTGCAAAAGAGAATCTGTGTTTTCTTGTACGTAATCACAAGGAAGAGTGTGAATGCAGCCCTGCACGGCTGAGAAAACCAGTGTCTGCTGTAGAAAAGACTTTCGAAATACTGTGTGGTTTTCCAAACATTGGATGCCTGATGGTTAAACAGCTAAAATGCCCTCATGCCAAACACCACCCACAAACAGGTACACACACACAGACTGCTTCTCATCTTAGCCACAGATACTCGTCAGTAATGTTTATTATATGACCTCACAGGCTCTAGTTATTCTAGACATTGTGTGTGTTTTTCTGCTGGTTCTAAAAGTTGGACGAAATTTCTAACACCCCACAAAAGCACTGACAAGCATCGGACAAACAAAACAGTACAGCACACTACAAAACAAAGCTATCTTCATCCTCACCCGCAAGAATGCCCCCCTGATAATAAGTCCTCTGTAAGCGATCAAGGTTCCTGCCACCTCGTAGTCCTAATACTGAGACAAAAATCACAGAGTCACATGAGTGCTTAAAGGCTCCTCTGGGGCACATGGCTGGGAATGACATGCCATTGTTTACAAGTGGAAAACCTAGATTGCCCATAGCGTGCCCTTGAGCATGGGAACAATATAATGAGCCATCACTGATTTCCGTAACAAATGGAGACTGGTTAGTTTATTGCGCTGTGCAAATGGCTTTCTGCTTGTAACTATGCATTGTAATATAGCAGCACTCTCTTACTATTATGCATTCCAAAGAAAATTAAAAAAAAACTACTGTACAATTCACTGTAAAATATCACATAAATGTTACAGAATTAATTAATTAATTTGTTGTATAGTTTTTCCCAGAATTTAATGAATCTATCTAGCTATCTGTTTGCTGGTGTGTGATTTGAATAAATGTAGAAAGCTAAGCAGTAGATTAATGTTGCTAATAAAGTTGATCTCTCTGACTCACAGTCTGTTTAATGGAGCCCTGGTGACAAAACAGCAGGAATACGTTCTCCCTCAAAACCGTTCATGTCCCAACAAATTACTAAACTGTCCTTCACATGCAAGCCTAATGCCACACCCCGCCAAAAAGCTGGTTCTGCAGAGCCAAACACTGCTTCAAGATCAACGCGTAATTTTGTCAAAGTGAACAGAAAAGAGCTGCAATTGCAAGCTTAACCAGCCTAAAGGTGATCCAAAGCTTTCCTCTTCTCTCACAGTCAACACCGAGGTTGTGAGATTGCTCAATTTTCGTGTCTTGTCAATAGCCTGTCGTTTTTTGAAAGGGATCAGTTCTTTCCCACTGGGCATCCATTCAAGCACCTTCCCCAAAAGAATAGGCTGTGGATCATATCAAGCTTAGATAAGTGCATCTCATGGCTATGAGGATTATCAGTGTATGCAATGCAAGCACAAATACAAGACTCCTCCTTTGCTGTACTCTCGCACTGAGTGCCCTGACATGCAACTATAGAAGTAACTGACTTGTGACAATTCCAAGTATGAGTGAGAGAGTGAAGGAAAAAAAAAGTACGGCCCTTACGGTAAATTTCCAGCCCTTGCCAGTAATTACTGCGTCTTTATTTGGTTGTACAAAGGCACATGTACCCCAGGCAGCATTTTCCAAAACCTTTTTCTTTTTTCCCCTTTTGTGGTCGAATTAACAAAACTGTGGTTCTTTGACACAAACGTGGCGTCAACTCACCTTTTTTGATGACTGTCTGATCTGCCATTATAATACTGTGGTCATCTACATGCTGATAAAAAAAGAAGACATACAGTGATAAGAAATCATGGTGAACTGTTTTTTTTAAAACAACAAATGATAAAGACAAGCAAGAAATGTATTTCTGTTATAATATTTAACATCTGTTCAAATTACTCTTTTTTGCCTCATTCATGCAAAACAAAGAAGAATAATATAGCTGTGATATTTCAATATGGAAATGACTTTAGGTTTGAGGTTTAATAAGTTGATAGTAAGGACTTTTCTTGTTTTTTAATCTCCTGTGTGGTCAAAATAATGTCCCTATTTACTAACATAAGGAATTAACTTTAGCTTTAATGGTACCCTAAAAATGTATTGTGATATTATGGCTACCTGTGTCAATAAACTCTCTCTCTCTCTCTCT